CTGGGACCTGACCGAGCCCAACGGATCTCAAATTCGGATTCAGCGGGTCGAAAAACATGTCCGTAGATGGGTCCGATCAAATGCACAAACCACTTTTTTTTTTTGTGTGCCGGTGTAATTTTAATATAGGGAAGAGTTGCTGTAATATGTGTAACAATCGCCTAAATCGTATTTTATCAATATTTAAATGAGGAACATGAATAACAAAAAAAAATTTAACAGATTATATCTTACGCGTCAACATTTTAAAAAGTCAGATATAACTGATGTCAACTTTTGATCAATGTATGTATTTGGAGTACAATAATATAATCATGCATTTAATATGAATTTTTATAACTAAGTATCTGGATCGATTGTGAAGTGTTAACAATTAAAATACGATGGTTACACGCCAACACGGTACAAAGTAGATCTTGGTGCTTGATAATATTATTTTAATGTGTGAATCTTATAATTCTTAATTCAATCAAACTGCGTGTCGCATAATCGTCGGTTTTTAAAACGCAATTCCAAACCTAACAGTACACAATTAAATTGTCTGGATCAACCGTAACACTCCACGGTCGATTCAGATACTCAGTTATTTACACGTCGCTGTGAAAGACGCTTTTCTTTAATTTACTAGTTATTGCGATAAATATTATCATATTAAGTCTCTGTAGTCGAAAAGGTAAGACTTTCCCATTCGGAAAGCAGGGAGGATTGAACCAATTAGTTCAAATCCTAGCTGAGGTAATATTTTTCGTAATAAGTTATTTTCATAGGATTTAAAAAGATGTTCCATGAGCATCGAATTATTAGATTGTCTTGGCAATTTAATTGTGATATTACGTACTGTTTGATTTGAAGCTGCATTTTAAAGACAAATGGTTATGCGGCGCGCAGTTTGCCTAAACTGAGAATTCAAAAATTCATATATTAAAATATTATCAAGCACCAAGCTCCGCTTTGCATCGTATTTTCATATCTCAATTGTTTCTAAAACATTAAGCTACAATTTTCAATGATTACACTGTGCTACAAAAAACACTTTTTTTCTCTCTTTGAAGTGCGACTATTCACGAAGATTTTTTCGCGCTGAACATGATGCCGTTTGAAAAATTCGCCTAGCACGTCAGGATTTACAATGAATTATATTGACAATATAATTCAAGAGCTTTCAAACGAACTTTGGTTTATGATTTTTTTTCATCAAATTATGGTTGTTTAAATTTTATACTTTTAGACTTTTTATACACTGTGTTACAAAAATACTTTTTTTTTCCTCTCTCTGCAATGCGACCATACATTTCCCGAAGAAATGTATGTTTTTTTACGCTGAACACAATACCGTTGACAGAATTCGCTTAGCACGTAGGATTTTGAGTAAATTGGAATGAAAGTGAAATGGCGTTTTTGGCCGCTTTCATTCCAATTTAATCTCAAAATCTTGATATGCTAGGCGAATTCTGCCTACAACATCGTATTCAGCGCGAAAAAATCTTTAGAAAATGCATATAGTCGCACTTCGGAAAAAGAGAAAAAAGTGTATTTTGTAACACAGTGTATAAAAAGTCTAAAAGTATAAAATTCAAACAACTATAATTTGATTTAAAAAAGTCGTACGGCCATAAACTAAAGTTCATTTGAAAGCTCTTAAATAATACTTTCAGATGCTGTTATGTTCATTTAGAAACCAGTTTCCGTCTTGTAAGAAAATATTAAATGTGGCCAAAAATGGCATTTTTGGCCACTTTAATTCCAATTTATTCAAAATCCTGATATGCTAGGCGAATTTTTCAAACGGCATCATGTTCAGCGCGAAAAAATCTACAGAAAACGTATGAGCACACTTTTGTGTCATACGGTGTTGTGGAGAAAATTTTGCTGTAGCACAGTGTTATTTACGTAAAAATCGATATCAAATGAAAAATATAATAAAAAATACCTTAAGAGGTACCATTTGGTAGCTCTTCCCTATGAGCTAAATAATAAATCTTCTTTACTCATATTTAATTTAAATTTTATTAAGGTTGACACCGGCATACATGATTGTGTTAGGAATATTGCATTTAAGCTCAGCTTGGTTCGATAAGACATCTCAGTTTGATATTTACGAGAAATCGCATGAAATTTGTGCAAAATACTGGTGGAGAAATCTTGTATATATAAATAATTTCTTTGATGTCAATGTAATGGTAAGAACTTTAATTAAAACGACTTTATATTATGCTTGTAATGTATACGTGAACTTCTTCTATTTAAAATTTTTATTACAGTGCATGAGTTGGAGTTGGTATTTGGCTAATGATATGCAATTTTATATAGTCGCTATGACGCTGTTGATTTTATCAACTATGTAAGTTAATCAACTATGAATGATATAGTGTATTACAACTAATATACTTCTCTTAAACATCCGAATAAGTATACAATACGTTTTACAAATTTTAGGTACTTCCACGCTGTTGTTAAGATTTTGGGTGGATTTTTAATAGGCTCTATTATCCTTAGTGGTTATATTTCATATATTTATGAATACATTCCGACGTAAGTTATTGAAATGAATTTTGTTTTGAGAAATTAGTTAAAAGTATGATTTTTTTATTGTTACAGATTAGATGTACTGAATAGATTTGCAGATGTTTTCTACACTCCACCATGGATGAGAATAATTCCCTATATTATTGGAATAATTGTAGGTTATATTTTAACAATATTAAACAACAATTTAGTGTTGAAAAAGGTTAAGTATTATTCAAAATACTTTTACATCATGTACTTAATTAGAAATAGTAATTTTAATACAGAATATATAAAATTTTAATTAATCCTTTATAAGATAAAATAACAAAAATTGTGTTTTAAAATTGACCATCAGTTGAAAATCTATAATGCATGCAACGTGAACTACAGATTTCCAATGGCAGCAGTAATTTTGAATACATGTTTAAATGAGAAACATATTACAGTATAATAACTTGACATCTATTTATTTCAGAGAATTATAATTTTGTGTTGGTGTACTTTTTGTTTTATTAGTATTTGCAACGTATTCATATTATTTGTACTTCACAAGCGAACTATATCCGTCCTACTTACTGCTACGTATGTGGCAATGCACAGATTACTTTCGGCCATATGTATAGCATGGATTGTAATAGTGTGTTCTATTAAACACGGAGGTTTGTTTATTTATTAATATAATATATAAATCAACAATTTATATCAAATTGACATATTTTTAATTCAATATGGTAATAATATAAGTAACGTTATATAAATACTATAATATTATAATAGGTGCATGAAAAAGTTTTAATCTTTTTTCCAACGCTCTGATATAATTAT